AGTGCAGTGGCACAATCTTGGCTCCCTGCATCCTCAACCTCCTGGGCTCAAGCGATCCTCCTACCTCAGCCCCCCAAGCCGGTGGGACTACAGGTGCCATTATACCTGGCTAATTTTTGTATTTTTTGTAGAGACAGGATTTCATCATGGTTATTTTCAGGCTGGTCTCGAGCTCCTGGGCTCAAGCAATCTATCTGCCTCATCCTCCCAAAGTGCTGGTATTATAGGATGAGCCACCACACCCAGCCTGTATAATTATTTTAATTTAACTAGTAATATTCCCTTTGTGCTTTAACATGTGGATAACGAAGTTTTTATTTACAGATTTCATTTTTTTGAAATATGCCATGATTTGCCATACTGGCTCAAACACAAATATAGAATTATATACAATAGTGGCTACTTATTTTTCACATCACAGAAATTAACTTTCAAATAATTTCTGGAGAATTATGTACTTCCAAGTCATGACTTTTGATTCATTTCACCAAAACTCTTAAAAATCCAATAAATTGTCCTCACTCGCCGCAGACGGCCTGCTTTTCCGCGCGCACGCCCTGCCGCCGCCCCGCAGAAATGCTTCGGTTACCCACCGTCTTTCGCCAGATGAGACCGGTTTCCAGGGTCCTGGCTCCTCATCTCACTCGGGCTTACGCCAAAGATGTAAAATTTGGTGCAGATGCCCGAGCCTTAATGCTTCAAGGTGTAGACCTTTTAGCCGATGCCGTAGCTGTTACAATGGGGCCAAAGGGAAGAACAGTGATTATTGAGCAAAGCTGGAGAAGTCCCAAAGTAACAAAAGATGGTGTGACTGTTGCAAAGTCAATTGACTTAAAGGATAAATATAAAAATATTGGAGCTAAACTTGTTCAAGATGTTGCCAATAACACAAATGAAGAGGCTGGGGATGGCACTACCACGGCTACTGTCTGGCACGCTCTATTGCCAAGGAAGGCTTCGAGAAGATTAGCAAAGGTGCTAATCCAGTGGAAATCAGGAGAGGTGCGATGTTAGCTGTTGATGCTGTAATTGCCGAACTTAAAAAGCAGTCTAAACCTGTGACCACCCCCGAAGAAATTGCACAGGTTGCTACAATTTCTGCAAATGGAGACAAAGAAATTGGGAATATCATCTCTGATGCAATGAAAAAGGTTGGAAGAAAGGGTGTCATCACAGTAAAGGATGGAAAAACACTTAATGATGAATTAGAAGTTATTGAAGGCATGAAGTTTGATCGAGGATATATTTCTCCATACTTTATTAATACATCAAAAGGTCAGAAATGTGAATTCCAGGATGCCTATGTTCTGTTGAGTGAAAAGAAAATTTCTAGTGCCCAGTCGATTGTACCTGCTCTTGAAATTGCCAATGCTCACCGTAAGCCTTTGGTCATAATCGCTGAAGACGTTGATGGAGAAGCTCTAAGTACACTTGTCTTGAATAGGCTAAAGGTTGGTCTTCAGGTTGTGGCGGTCAAGGCTCCAGGGTTTGGTGACAATAGAAAGAACCAACTTAAAGATATGGCTATTGCTACTGGTGGTGCAGTGTTTGGAGAAGAGGGATTGACCCTAAATCTTGAAGATGTTCAGCCTCATGACTTAGGGAAAGTTGGAGAGGTCATTGTGACCAAAGATGATGCCATGCTCTTAAAAGGAAAAGGTGACAAGGCTCAAATTGAAAAACGTATTCAAGAAATCATTGAGCAGCTAGATGTCACAACTAGTGAATATGAAAAGGAAAAACTGAATGAACGGCTGGCAAAACTTTCAGATGGAGTAGCTGTGCTGAAGTTTGGTGGGACAAGTGATGTTGAAGTGAATGAAAAGAAAGACAGAGTTACAGATGCCCTTAATGCTACAATAGCTGCTGTTGAAGAAGGCATTGTTTTGGGAGGGGGTTGTGCCCTGCTTCGGTGCATTCCAGCCTTAGACTCATTGACTCCAGCTAATGAAGATCAAAAAATTGGTATAGAAATTATTAAAAGAACACTCAAAATTCCAGCAATGACCATTGCTAAGAATGCAGGTGTTGAAGGATCTTTGATAGTTGAGAAAATTATGCAAAGTTCCTCAGAAGTTGGTTATGATGCTATGGCTGGAGATTTTGTGAATATGGTGGAAAAAGGGATTATTGACCCAACAAAGGTTGTGAGAACTGCTTTATTGGATGCTGCTGGTGTAGCCTCTCTGTTAACTACAGCAGAAGTTGTAGTCACAGAAATTCCTAAAGAAGAGAAAGACCCTGGAATGGGTGCAATGGGTGGAATGGGAGGTGGTATGGGAGGTGGCATGTTCTAACTCCTAGAATAGTGCTTTACCTTTATTAATGAACTGTGACAGGAACCCCAAGGCAGTGTTCCTCACCAATAACTTCAGAGAAGTCAGTTGGAGAAAATGAAGAAAAGGCTGGCTGATGTTTAAGACATCACTATAACCATCAGTTACTGGTTTCAGTAGACAAAATACATAATGGTTTATTGCTGTCATTGTCCATGCCTACAGATAATTTATTTTGTATTTTTGAATAAAAAGACATTTGTACATTCCTGATACTGGGTTCAAGAGCCATGTACCAATGTACTGCTTTCAACTGAACATTTTTCACTGAGGCATTTTTACTACTATTCTGTTAAAATCAGGATTTTAGTGCTTGCCACCGCTAGATGAGAAGTTAGGCAGTCTTTCTGTGGAGAGTGAGACTAATTGTGTACAAAGTAGAGAAATATCCAATTATGTGACAACCTTTGTGTAATAAAAATTTGTTTAAAGTTAAAAAAAAAATCCAATAAATTCCATTCATAAATTCCTCATCAAAATCAAGATCCTAAGTCTCCTCCCTCCAGCCTACCTCGTGTCTTAAAAAATACAAAAATTAGCTGGGAGTGGTGGCAGACGCCTATCATCCCAGCTACTCAGAGGAGGCTGAGGCATGAGAATCGGCTGAACCTGGGAGGTAGAGGTTGCAGTGAGCCGAGATGGCACCACTGCACTCCAGCCTGGGGGAGAGAGAGAGACTCTGACTCCAAAAATACAAACAAAACAAAAAACAAAACTCCCTTCCTTTCCTTTTCTTCTTCCCTTCCTCATTTCTTCCTTCCCTCTCTCCTCCCAGGTGAATTTGTTTTAAAAATATATTCCCCTTTCTTCCTTCCTTAGTTCTCCAACCCCTTCTTCAGGCAGAACAGCTTGAGAGCTCTGGTTTTATCTGTCTTGTTTATGCTGCCAGGTGAGTTTGTTTTAAAAAGATCGTCACTCCCTCCCCCACCCCCAGGGGAGTTTGTTTTAAAAATACATTCTTTCTGCTTTCCCTTCCTTCCAGGTGACTTTGTTTTAAAAAGACATTTTTTCTCCTTCTTTTTTCTCTTTCCTTCTCTCTTTTCTAAGACTCACTATTATGTATATGACACTATGGCCATAATCCTTAACAGCTCAGCCCTAAAGCCATTAAGTGGGCCAGAGCAAGACAAGAAACTTTTCGGAGAAGCAGCCTGGTGTTGAGGGTCAGAGCCAGGGCTGACTGAGGGGAGCAGCAATGGTGACAGGTAGAGGGTGGTGGTGGCACTGGGATAGGGCAGCAAGTGCAGAGATAGTCCAGAGGGCGAGGTGTCCACCCGGGGAAGAAGCCTGACATGCTGGTCCGAGCCTCAGGAGAGGGAAGGAGGAGGGCACCCTCCTACGTGGGCAGCTTGGGGCACAGTTCTAGATTCCACGCAGAGGATTATTGTGAGGGCATCCACAGAGGGAAGGCTTAGGGCCTGGTGTCAAGGCTCAAGCAGAGTGAGGAGGGTGCTCAAGGTATGCAGGTGATCCAGTGAGAAGAATCAGAGATCAAGCAGGGTACAATGTGCTCACATGTGGGTAGGTCAGAGGTAGCAGGTAGGATGAGGAGAGCATCCCCACACCACAGAGGAGGTCCAGTGTCGAGTGCTAGAGCCCAAGTGAGGTGTGGAGAGCATTCATCTGTGAGGGCAGCCCAGAATGCAGTATTAGAGAGAAGGATGTCCAGGGCAGTGTGGGGGAGCCAGCAGAGGGTGTTGGAGCTCAAGTAGGCAGGGAGCATCTATGATAGGAACAGTCAGGTGTGAAGTGTCAGGGCCTTAGGAGTGCAAGGAGGATGTCCATGTGGGAGAGGGGCAGTGGTGATGAGAGATTGGTTATATGCAGGGAGACTGATCAAATAATTTAAAAATCTTAAAGCTAGTGAGACCCAGTTCCTCAATGTCAAGAGAAGGGTGGAGCCCTATAGTATTGTTAGAATTGGAGGCATCTGTATGATGTCATAGATTTCAATAAATAGAGAAGTTTAAATAGGAATGTGTATATATGTATATACTAATGCTCTCTAGATTTGTCCCCTGAAAAGGTCTGGGAGTGGTACTTTCCCTAAGGCAATGAGCACACCTGGTTCTCAGCTCTTGGCTTCTAAGATGCTATGGGTAGTTGTTTTTACACTTCAAGGAACCTCTACTGTTTTCCATATGGCTGTACTACTTTACATTCCTACCAACAGTGTGCAAGGATCTCCTTTTCTTCATATCCTTCCCAATACTTCTCTTTCATCTTTTCGGTAACAGTCATTCAACAGGTCTCAGGTATAGTAATTATCTCATTGTGGTTTTAATTTGCATTTCCCTGATGATTGGTGATCTTGGGCATTTTTCCATATACCTGTCAGCCATGTGTATGTTTCCTTCTGAGAAATGTAAATTCAGGTCAGTCATTCCTTCTGACAGTAACTGGACAGCAAAGCCAAATTATATAAAGGCAGTTCTCAATAACATTAAGCCTTATCTTCAGCATTTGGAAAAATGTTTGTTTTCTGAGCCTACGTGTGGTATATCCAAAAGGGAGTTTTGTTCACTGCTCTAACCTACTGCCTACACAATGGGTGGCACATGGCAGGCACTCACAGCTGTTGAATGATTAGGCAAAATATGCATATCTTTTTTAGCTTAGCAAAGGAGGGAAATCCTCAAGTCACAATATACAGAGAACAGAAAGTGTTGTAAAATATTTTTTATTGTAAAAACAAAGTCAATAAAAGTTGACAATGTAAATGATCTCAGAACATTCCCCTTGGTTCCTGAATTTGCTACATTCCTATGTACCAGCAAGCCTCCATTAGCATTTCTCAGGTTTCATGATCCTTTTCAGATATGTTGGTTGATTACATGTATATATTGCTTAGAAACAAAAATCCACCTGATATTTAAAAAACCAAAAGAATCATAAAAGCAAGCAAATGAACAAAAACCCCTAGTTTTGTTGTGCTTTTCTTTCATATTCCCTACAGGGAGATTTGTATATCTCAGACGCTTTCAAAATTTAATAGGTAAGTAAAATTAGTGCTTTAACCAAACAGTAAGATACCAAAGGGTCCTCCATCACAAGTTATTGAATCAAACCTCTCATGACATGTGCAGTATATTCAGACTTGAAGATTTTTTAAATTTAGAATTTAAAACAAACTTTAGACTGCTGATTTTCCATATTTCAAAGACTGTAGTTGTTTGCAGCATATAAACGGAGAAAGTAGTGCAAAACGCATCAAGTTTTATATGATAAATATATATTTTCAACCTAATGGCTGCCTCAAAAGCAAAGAGTGAAAAGTTACTTCTCAAAAGAAATCTAAATTGACTCAAAGTTCACAATTTAGAAATAGCAATTGCTACTCTATTTTCATAGATTGCAAAATGATTTCAGATACAGATTACACATAAAACTGTTTTACAAAAATAGAAATATTGTTTGGGACTTTACAAAACTTTATAAAATATAACACTATATTTGCAAATTCAAGATAGTTTCACACTGAAATAGACAATACTTCCATGAAGTCTAGCCAAACTTAAAGTGGTCTGCCTTAAGACCATTCTTACGTATTATTTCTTCCAGGTCTTCAAGCCTAAGTAAATCTATGCTCTAATATGGGCTTTGTAAAAAAGAGATTGTTTATTTTCAAGGGTTTTATAAGATTTTCAACCCAGAAATAATGTTAAAGCAGATGAATGTATGTCTAAAAATATGTTTAAGTAAAAGTAGAAGCTAATGCAGTATGACAATTCTATGGAACTGATACATTTCAAACCAAATTCCCAAGAATGACAACCTATTATTAATTTTAAAAATATATTTGACAATTATAATTTAGGACCTAAGTAAAACAAAAAAATATAATCACAACTATTTTGTGGAAAAATATTTATTCATATTGAGTCAAAATATCTCCAAACTTAGTTATTTGTAGCTGTCAGATGAGAAGTATTTCCTAATTACACCCATTCATAAACACTCATTTTATCACTTCAAAGAGCACCAGTGTCTTTTTTCAACAAACCAGAAAAGTAAGAAGGTAAGGGGCTTATTTCATGTTAACAGTGCTATTATGATAAGGCACCACTAGGTATATGAAAAAGCCAAAGTATTTCCAAATCATGTGTTTTTGTTACTGGTGTCTTAACCATTAAACAGGATGGTTAGAAAAAAGCTACCAGCATTATTAATGAACCACACTGTAACCCCTTTCCCATAATTCTGTGCTTTTAGTTTTACCATATAACAGAAATAAAAACAATGTAGTACATGATCTGTTAAACAAACATCTTTTCCCAACCTTCCAAGAAAATAACCTAAAAATAAACAACAAGAAACAAAAAATTTATCTGATATATTTGCAAAAGTCTATCCCTGTAGAAGAGCGTGAGGAGTGGGAGAAGGCAGGGGGACCTACTTTCTGTGGAATATATTGAGGCACATAGGTTACAAGTTTCTCAGGCAAATTCATGGCTAAATCAAAACAAAGAGAGCGCTCAGAATCTACATTTCCCCCAAAGTTGATTTCTCAGCCACACCTGATTAAGTACTTGCAAGTGTGGCCTTAGTCACTGCTATCATCATCTTCATCATCATCAGACATATCATTTAAAGGAGACTTCAATGACTGACTGTAAGAGTCTGATCTAGCAGGCTGGCATGTGGCCATATCCCCAGTAGAAAGCAGGTCATAGCAGAAGTCACAAATCCGCACAGGCTTGGAGGACTGGCTGGGAAGAAGAAATCTCTTTTCAGAGCAGGGCCCACAGACAACAAAACCACATTTGCGGCAATGGTGGCGACGATTAACAGGTGTGAATTTTGCTTTCTGACAACGCATACATACAGTGGCCTCAGAGTCAGGAACCCAGACAGCAGCATGTTCATTACTGGGTGTCTTCCCGCTTTTGGAGAGTAAATCAGTAACACATTTATTTATGTGATTCATCCATTCTGATTTCTCTGTAGCAGTGGCAGCATAAACTGCAAAAGATTTAGTTGGTGTCTTGATTAGCCATCCATTCCTTAAGTCTCCCTCATCTTTGATGGAATCAATAGTGACATTTTCCAGGGGAATAATATGTTGTTTGTTGTATTTTTTCTTCTGGATGACAATATTGCCGTATACAAGAATATCATTAAATAAGAAAAACTGCCTTGCTTTGGGCTTTTTCCTGCACAACTTCGTCAATACGCCTTCTCCAATAAGAACTCGTCCAGGTATAGTCAAGGGTTGACCAGCTGCTCCAAAACAGTTTTCCACTATACTTATACGTCTTGTATTTGCTTCACTGTTTGCCAAGCGATCCACCATCTTTCACTATTAGCCTTTTTAAAAAGGAAAAGAAATTAGCACATGGAAATGATAAATTCCTGTAAGTTTATAAATTAGATATAAATTTAAGCTAACAAGTCATTGCTTTTACACAAAGGCAAAATGTTCTAAAATTTTTTTCCCTCTAAGATAATCACTAGACACACCAAAAGGGCTAACATTTCTCGATTTTTAAAATAATCAAAAACACTTATTTAATACCATCTCCATGTAGCACCATACTAGTTAAGCAGGTATATATAAAACGATAAACTTCCTACGGACATAAGTAAATGAAAGACAAATGGGTAATTAACATAATTCATCTCTGCAAAATAATAAACCCTGTTCAATGAAATGTAATCTCAATGGGATTCTGAACAATAGAGAACCAAATGTTACATAAACTAAGAAAAATGACCATTTTACCAGTAAGCTATCACCACTGAGCCACAGCCTTAGTTCTCTCACCTGGCTTACTGGAACTGTTTCCCAACATGTCTCCTGGCCTTCAGTCTTGCCCCTAAATCAGTCTTTGGGCAGTGATCTCTAAAATGCTAACTTGACCCCCATCATTGCTCAAAATGACCCCTTAACCTATTAAATACAGGATGTTCAAGGCCTTTCATTACTTGGTTCTTACTTGTGACTCCAGCCTCACAATGTCACTCTTCACCTCAATTATTATATTCTAAGAACACTCTATTTGTAGTCCATTTCACTGTTGTTCCTTTTACTACTTACTACTGCAGCTAACTCATACTCAGCCTTCAAGACTTAATTGGGGTTATCATATCTCCTCCAGGAAGCCTTCTTTAAACAAATTCCATGCTAGAATAAAAACCTTCCTGTGAGCTATTCATATTCTATGTATATTGTAGCTTTACTTTTACCAAAGGACTGAAATCTGTTCCTCCACAGACCACTGTGGAACATAAAAAGCAGAGATCATCTAATAGCTATGTTTGAAACTGATATGGTCTGACACAGCAAAGGTACTAAAAAATGTTAAGAACATTTTAACAATGTGCAAAAAACCATATTAATCTGGACATTTAATCTCTAGGTTCAATACTGATATCACTCAAGTCCAAGAGATGTATCCTATTTCAAACCTACTAAACTAATACTACTATACTATAACCAAGTCATACTAAACAACAACAAGGTCTGAGAAGAACAACATTTAAAGTTGAAAGACTAGCAGCATAGTTCCAGAATTCAGCTCAAAACCTGATACTATGGTCCTTCTTGGCCCCCATTATAAAGGACACTAGAATTCTAGTTATTCCTGAATTCTGTCTCTCCCCAAATCTTGGGTCCTTATAAAGCCCTCTTGTCCTCCACAAGGGTAGGATGTGGCAGGCCTAAAAGTTGTTCCCAAGAATTAACAGGATACTGCATGGTTCCAAACTGGAAAGGTTTCTCTAATTAGGACCAATCTGCCAGCCAATTAAAAGCCTACTATCCTACGCCCAAGTACATCACAGAAAAGGAAATAAAAAACCTAATAACCAGGAAATGAGGCTGTATCTCTTTCATAATTAAAGAAATTATGTTAAAACATTAGGATATTTTTCACTTACATTAAATAAAAATTTGTTAATGTACTAAGATGCAGTACTCACAAAGGTGTAGGGAAGTAGGTACCCTTGTACACTACAGAGAATATGTGTACACACCAATCTATCTAATTAAAGAAATTTTGCTCACGTGCATAAAGATATGTACAAGAATAATCAGCACAGCACTTTTTATAAAGGAAAACAATTGGAAAAGCTCCAAATATTCATCAGGAGGAATTGGTTGAAAAAGTTATGACACACCCTTAGTCATATCTCTTAAGAATAAGATAGACCTAAAACTAGTGACAAGGAAAATGCTCACGATCTACAAGTGGGGAAAAGAGATGAATATCCTGATCCCATTTTTGTTTAAAACATATACTGTGCTTCATCACATCTAAGATGCTATAGATTTTAAGACATATTTATGTGCAACTCATAAAGAGAAAAATGTTGCCAATTAAACCACAGCATACCCTTGATTATAAGACAACCCAACTTCAAAGATATAATATACAGTAAAAAATGTTTACCTTTAGACTCAATGGTATACATATTTCAAAAGCATCATCATAGACATCTGTGTATGTAAGCACACACAGAACATAAAATTAGAAAATATCTACTATACCATCAACAATGGTAATATATCTCTGGAAAGTATAATTATGGATCATTTATTCATAATTTATATTATATTCAAGCATTCAACAACTATTTGTCAGGCACTTGGGATCTAGGTGCAGAAAGAGTAAAAATAAACAATACAGGTGATCATACCTGAATATGTGACAATAGATAAAAATTTAAAAATAAACAACAGGCAAGATCCCTGTTCTTCAAAAGGTTTACACTCTAGCTGGGGAAGGGGACAGAGAAAACAAAATCGACAATCTAGTACTAATCAATGCTATGATTTTTTTAAGTGATTTTTAAAAGATAAACTGGGAGATACTCACACTAGATGGTCAGGAAAGCCCTTTCTACAGTGGTGTCATTTCAGCTCAACTAGATGGGTGGACATAAGAAGGGGTAAGGACAGGGGAAAATATTCCAGACAAAAGGAATAACTGCAAAGGCACTAAGGCAGGAAAAGACGTTGGCACTTTTAAAAAAGAAAACTGAAAAAAATCTATCTCCACCTGAATCAACTACCAAGTCCACCCACTTGGACATATAGTTATTAATTAACTCATATACAACACAGATTTCCTATTGCTGCTATGGGAATTAATAAAATTATTAATAAATTTGTACAGTGCTTTTCACATTTATCTTTTGATTTTAACTGTTTGAATGCCTATGAAGTTACTACGGAAGTTTTTATTGTCCCCAAAGTATCTAATGTTAGCTGAACTGTGAGCTGATGAAGAAATTAAGGTACAAAGAGATTTAATAATGTAAAAGCAAAACTTAACCTGGAATGAACTCTACTCATAGGCAGTCCAAGCAACGTGCAGAGAACTTTGCACTTTGTATTTCCTTCTCGCAGCAACCCTATGATACATGCACTATTAGCTCCATTTTATGGATGAGTAAACAGACAAAAAGGAGTTAATTAATTTGCCCAAGCTGTCACAGCAGAACAGGCCTCAAAATGATTTCTCTGTGATGCTATATAGTATATTATGATACACTAATTGTTCCTTTGAACGCCACTGACTCTACAAGAACTCTAAGAAAGCTATTAACCTCTGGACCTTCACTGCAAACCCTAAAAATACTGAAGAAAGATAAGGGAATACTAACTTAAACAAATCACATGAAAGGATGGATATGTCATGATTTACCCAGTTGGTCTCTTGATAATCTTTCATTGTCCAAATTTTTCAATATATTAAGTCTAAACCTTTGTTCATAAATCTTTCTCCCTGTTTAAAAATAATGCAACTGAAATGAGGTTTGGGGCATTATTAATTAGTATGTGGCTGGCAGCAAAGCAAATAGCTTTCAAATCTGACAATGACAGACATAAATATATTTCATATTGCAAGGTTACAAATATAATTATTTCAACAATGAATAATGCATTCTTTTCATTTATTTTAATGCTTCTGGCAACCCACTTGATTGATGGATGGATTGTGACCTATATCTGAAAAACAATGGGCATGCACAAAACATAAGACCTTTGGCCTTAAGCAGCCCCTTCCATTATCCTTTTTGGTCCTGAAATATTTCCTGTATGTGTCAGACATAAAAAAGATGGTAAGCACTGAACTAAAAAACCCAGGAATACATAAATGCTGCCCTGTATACACACACACACACACACACACACACACACACACACACAAATACATACACACATAAGAGACAGAATGGTGGTAGGGAAATAGGAGGCAGCAAGGAAAGAAAGGAGTGGGGGGAGGTTATCAAAAGGAAAATCAGAAGTACTGCTTTTATCTGGGTTACAGCTAGATACCCCAAATAATGTTCTCCGGTGAACTGGATTAGAGCACTACCCTTTGGCTCAGGGCCTAAGCAAGGCTTCTTCCCTTCCCCTAAATTAGCCCAAATATAAATTTACCTCCAGCACATTGAGGTGTCTCAAGCAGTAAGAACGCTACACTTTTGTGAGAGGACTGGAATACAAGATCACAGGGCCTAGCCAAGGACTGAGTCCTTCCCATATCCTACGCATTGAGGGGGACCAAAAGAGGAAGCAGAAGAGAGTTATAAACATGGTCCACTTTGATTAATGTCTACTCTTCTTGGGAAAGAATACCAATGAATATAAGAAGAACGAAAAAGAAAGCTTTCCCATCCCCTTGCAGAAGTGGCTTCATAGAACAAATTCCAAGAAGCAAAATTACTGGGTCAAAAGGCATGAAAGACTCTTGCTACCTTTCACAAAATTTCCATTCTGGAAGTAACACCAATTTACCAAGCAGCACAATGACAGTATTCATTCCACCTTGTTCTACATATGGCATTTTTCTTTAAAAAATTCAGTGTTACTCACAATTATTTTTTCAGTGTTTACGCACAATTACTCATTGAGCACTTTCTAGATAATGGGTATTATGCTTTTCTTCTCCAAGCTTGGAGGGCAGTGGAAGAGAAAGGCCATAGATGGACAGATAGATAGATAGTTTCCAAAAGATGAAGTACAATGAAGGAAACAAGCAGGTTGTCAAGATACAGGGGGAAATTCATTTAGATTGAGTAGAACTAAAAGGCCTCATGGAGGCCTTATAAACTGAGTCTTAAGGAATGAGGAGTCAGCCATGAAAAGGAAATACTATGAACAAATGTCTTTAGGAAGGAAAAGTACTTTTAATTTAACTGAATGTTTTATTCCGCAACTACCTAATGAGGTCAATGATTTCTAATGTGTTTATTAACCACTTGCATTTTAAAGATTACATATTTAGGGACTATTAATCTATGAGTATTTTACACATAAGGCTATTAATCCATTTTTTTTGGTTTTTCTAGTTTTATGGTTTTATGGTGTTTGACATGAAGTCAGTTGTATTTCTTAAGCAGTTAAACTTATAAATCTTTTGTGATTTTCTTCCATTACTTCCAAGTTTCCCTAACCAGGTATCAGATGCACCTATTTATTATCTATGCTTTATGACACAAACTCTACATTTAATTCTTTCAGCCAACTAAAATTTATTCTGGCATGGGTAAAAATACTTTTTTGCTTTTCAAATATTTGCATTCTAAAAGAGCTAATTGTTCCAGAAACACCAAGTACTATGTGACCACAGATATTCTTACTTGTAAAGGGAAATAATAGCACATACTATCAAGGAAAAAATTAAATAGATAATGCACATGAAATGTTCAGCAAGTACTCAACAAGTGGTAGCTTGCATTAATGCTATTAGTAATCTAATCTACTGATTTATGTCACTTTATCATACTAAATTTTTACATATTCTAAGATCTGCTTCTGGGCTACCCGGTTTAATCAATTAATCTGTTTCATAATTCTATGACCATAAATCTGGTAGGACTATTCTAGACCATTACTAAACTTTCTTAAAAACATTTTATCTAATTTTGTTTATTTGTCCAGATAAAGTCTACTTAGAATAGTGGTTCTCAACCTTAGCTTCCCATTGGAATCACAGGCAGATTTAACCTTCGGCATATCAGGAAAAAAATGTTCACCTCAATTGACTATCTGGGTTCAAAATACTCTTTATTTTTAATATTTTAAGGAATTTTATGACTAATTTACAAAAATAATAAAGGGGTAGTTTAAAAAAACCTTAAGAGAAAGCTTCATAAAAACTTAAACATGACAAATTTTTTAATTCCATCGGATATTAAAGGTATATATATCCAAAATAAGCAACATCCTTTGAATGAAACTTTGAATGCATGAACCTGTAATGTTTTCATATTTTGTCCTTAGAAATACTGTTAATTCTTGAGTTTGAAAAAACTCATCTAGGAAATCACCATGTGAACACCCATAGTCTAAGATTTCTCTTATGCAATTAAATTCACTATCATTATTATCATTATTAATTTAAGTGTTGTTTCTTTGCATTTATCTTCTGATTTGTCTAATAGTTCTGAAATATCTTCCTTTGCTATTAAAGACAGAAAATAAAAAATGAAAAAAATATGAATTCTCAAATATGTTAAACAAAAGCTTAGAACAAAAATGCTAAAAAGGATTACCTCAAAACTGTTTTTATATCTTTTTGAGAGATGATACAGTTGTGATGCTATATTTCACCACGGCATCACCCTACTTGGCAATTCTACCACTCTTCTGTTTTTGTCTTGTTGACATCATTGGGGGAAATTAGTGAGTAATGATTAATAATTTGTAGGAAAATGAAATAGGAAAATGCTTTAAGATTTAGGAAAAGCAAAATCACTAAGATCCTATAATATATCTTAGATTTATACATACCCAATGAAACCACATGGTAACTGCAAGCTAGGATGAGTTTTATTCTTTTTAAAATAAGTAAGTTTTGTTTTTGTTCTTTGGAAAGCTCTAAGAAATTATTATAAAATATGAATCAATATAATAATTAGAACTACTCAGAAAAGAAATCCAAAACCCAAAATTAAGAACAATTAACTCTGCTAATAAATATCAAGGGTTAAAAAATACTGATACCTAAATTCTTCCCCAGATAGCTAATTTTATTGGTCTGGGGTATGCAGGGTAAGACCTGTGCACCAAAATATTTTTAAAGCTCCGCAGATAATTCTAACATGCAGCTAATGTTTAGAACCATTTTTTAAAACAATAAATAAATAAAATCCCTCTGATAAGTTGATGGAACTCACATTATATCCATAAATTAATTTAGAATTAACATCTTTACAGTTTTGAGCATTTGAGGGTGGTAGTATCTCTTCCCAAGGCTTCAAATCTTTTTGCATAGTACTTTTGTATGCTTTTTCTGCGAGACAGTTACACTTCTTAAATAGGCTCCCAGATTTTGTATACTTTTTGTTGCCACTTTGAATCTAAGCTCTTTTCCACAGTATGTTTTCTAATTAGTTAAAACTGTTAATAGAAAAACTATTGGTATTTGTTTCTTTTCATATTCAGGTACTTCATAGAATTCTACTAATTTCAACAGTTTTCCATTT